TTGAAAGTGTAAAACAAAAGCTTTTGAAGTAGGGTTTTGTTACAAGTTTATCTTTATCATTTAATGTAACAGAAGAAAGCACTAAGTGCCTTCCTTTACACATTAGCCCTGTACTTACAGTTTGAGGTTTGTCCTTTCTCATCAGAGAAAAAAAAAGACTACATGAAAATGGGCTCTGATTTAGCCAACTAGAGTTCTCAGGAGGGAGGAACTTTGTATGTTGAGGATTCGGGGATCCAGTTTGCTCTTATCCTTTGAAACAGATATATTGCAACCTGTCGCCTCCTTAGGAAGTGTTAAGGGCTTGGCCAGTGCTTGCTTTCTAAGTGTGCCTAGCTTAGGGTTCTTTTTCCCTTGGTAGATAGCTGGCCTATCTGATCTGTGGCCAAGGTTTCCCTCAGTGCACAGACATGTGCATCTGCCTCTCATGAGCAGGTAGTCCTCCAAGCTTTTGTCATAGATGGTGGCAGCTATCCACTGGCTTTTAATTGACGACCCAACCTACCAGTTTAGAATGTTGACTTAGATTCTAAATGTGAAAAATGTGAACCAAAATCAGTGTTCGCAGAAATGGTGAGGCATGCAGGTAGACGGTGCAACTTAGTGCAGATCCAAAAGACAGTTCCCAGAGACCTGAGGGCTTCACAGGACACATGTTCCTGGAAAGTGTTCTTATGCTAGAAAGGGCTTGCAGGAAAGACAGTCATCTGTCCCCAAAAGACTGTAAGGCCTTTAAGGCTAGATCCTAAAGAAAGTCAGCAGGGTGCCTCTCCCAAACAGAAGGGCTTAGGCCTGAGAGGACCTCACAGAGAAGAAAAAGGAGAGCCATGGAAACCCGGTGCAAGACTCCATGCTGCTTCCTTCCCTGACTCCAGGTCTCTTCTAGACATCAACCAAGTGTGTCAACCTAAAAACATAACCTTCAGGCAAAGGGAGGAGAGTCCTTGGAGTATTTTCCCCCGGGATACTTTCTGTATGAGGTTGAGTGACTTTGCACAGTGTTACGGTTCTGGCAGATTTTACATGGCAATAGTTCCAGCTGTATTTTTTGTTGTCACTGACACAAGTGACTCATTTTTACACTGTCAAGGATCTTTATCCAGCTTTTACATAATTGTTTTTGGTGAAGGGTGAGTCTTCTAAAGCGATAGCTATCATGGCTGGAACAGAAATTTTTAATAAGTGACCAGATATTAATAAGCATGACATTCTTTCTGCACTTTTGAAACATTGTTTCCTAATAGTCATGTGTATGGCATGAAGTGGATATTAAATAATTTGTGTTTTTGGATTTCATGTCTGTTAAATATATTAGCCTGTGTCATCATAGTCAGTGTCAATACTGATTGATGAAAGATCAGTCAGGTGCACCCTGCACCTTAGTCTTCTGCCCAGGGGACTCCAGGGCAGGAGCAGTTGTCAGTAAAGTAGGAAGTCTTTTTTCACACCACTGTGGTTTGAACTTGGGGCCCTCACACTTGCTAGGCAGGCACTTTTACCACAACACTAGCACTGTTTTGTGATGAGTTTTTTGAGATAGGGTCTCATAAACTATTTGTCCAGGGCTGACTTTGAATCACGATCCTCCTTCTCTCTGCCTCCCGAGTAGCTGGGATTACAGGCGTGAGCCACCGGCGCCTGGCTGTTTGCTTTTCAATTATCATATTTTGTACTGAGGGTACATTGAGTCGTTTACCAAAGTTCTTACAATGTGTCGTAGTTGAATTCACTTACTCCATCATCATCCTTTATCTCCTCTAAAGTGCTGTTTGTTTTCCCACAGGTCTTGACTGCAGAGGAGTTGAAAGCTGCTCAGACCTCTGTTGCATACGGCTGTATCAAATATGCCGACCTCTCCCATAACCGGCTGAATGACTACACCTTCTCCTTTGACAAAATGCTCGATGACAGAGGGAACACGGCCGCGTACCTGCTGTACGCCTTCACTAGAATCAGGTCAGCGTGGTCTTTAAATCAATGAAGACATACTTAGTTGCTCAAAAAACAGTTTTATAATTTTGCTTTGTACAGCATCTTTGTGTCCTTTAGAATTTCAGGTTGTCCTTGGAGCCCCTAAGCCTGTCCCTGTTTAACCAGATAGAGTCTCCTGAGCAGTGTCAGGGGACCCTATGAAAGAGTTACATTGTTTTTTAATAATGTAAAGTGCTTTAGACTGGATTATTAGTCTCACCTAATAATGTGCCTGGTAGTTAAATGCTTCATCCATTTCATGAGTCTTTTTAATTGCTAGTAGTGTTATTTGCCTCAATCACATCTCGTATGTTTTTGCACAGTGAAGAGTGAGAATGCCTGACAAAATAGCAAGTAATGCCTGTCTGCTTCTCAGGTCTATTGCGCGCCTGGCCAACATTGATGAAGACATGCTCCAGAAGGCTGCTCGGGAGACCAAGATCGTCTTAGACCACGAGAAGGAGTGGAAACTGGGCCGGTGCATCTTGCGCTTCCCTGAGATTTTACAGAAGATTTTAGATGACTTGTTTCTCCACACACTCTGTGATTATATTTATGAGCTGGCGACTACCTTCACAGAGTTCTATGATAGCTGCTACTGTGTGGAGAAAGATCGACAGACTGGTGAGTGTCCCCATTTCTGTATTGGAGGAGGGATGCCACAAGGCCTGGAAAGTGGGTAGGACCCCTTTCCAATTTGCTTTATTCATAGCAAAGAAAAGATCACTGCAGTGATCCCTAGCATTTGTAACAGACAAAAATTGAACTACTACTATTAAAAAAAAAAACAGAAATAAGTTCTGCCCATTGAGTCTGTGGGATGGAACCTTTAGGACCCCTGGAAAGGAATTAAAAGGCCATTGGGATCAGTGTGTCTGGGGAGCCAAGAATGTATCTTGAAATGTTGATAATGGAAACTGTCTTTGGAAGACAACCTTTTTTGTCCTCATGTTACATAGTTAATGAAATACAAGGAATTACTGTTTCTGAGGGGTCTGCCTGAGAACTGAAACTTTTCTACAGGCTAAGAAAATTAGGTTTATATTTATTTCAGACTACCATGAGGTCTAAGAAATTTACACTTGAATTGGAATGTTGATCTTCTCTTTTTCTGTTACCTTCTCAGGGAAAGTACTGAAGGTGAACATGTGGCGTCTGCTGCTGTGTGAGGCAGTAGCTGCTGTGATGGCCAAGGGGTTCGATATCCTAGGAATAAAACCTGTCCACAGGATGTGATCCTTCTGAGGTTTGAATACTGTGTTTTTATCAGAGTGCCACTAGGACTGTTTTTTTAACAGTCCCTAGTAAAGAAAATTTTTGAACTATATATGCAAAATGTGATTCTTAAGATTTCTAAAAATAAAAAAAATTCTGTTCACAAATTTGTTACTGAACATTAAACCAGAATGGTACAGTGGCGCCACGAAATAACATATGTTTAGACACCAGAGCCAGCTAGTTCATGGTATAGCAGGGATGTGTTTTCATTAATTAGGTAAGTTAAGTTGCCCTGGATTGTTCTAGAACAACAAAATACGACCTTGGCAGTACAACAGACCTGGGTTCAGAGAAGCAAGCAAGAGAGCCAAACAGATTGACTCCTCATTTGTCACTCATCCCCTAGGTGAGCAAGGAAAAAAATAAAGGCCCCTCATTGGCAATGAAGTAAAATCTTTATTTCCAGGTGAGATACAATCTACTGTACAGAATGCCCTGCGGGACCCACAGAAACCTGGGCAGGGCAAGGTGGCTGACAGAGTTGCCTCCTGCTTGCCTCCTCCCATGCCAGAGCCAAAGGAATAAACAGCTATCACTTCATGGTGAGTGACATGAGCTCAGCAAGGGAGATCCTCTTTGGAGTCCCTGTAAGATAGCAGCACAAAGAGTAGAAGCGAATGTGGGTCACTGGCTAGGAAGATCCCCAGTGCAGGGAAAAGGGAGCAGGCCACAATCTCAACCGCAGATGCCAACAATGCCAGCGACAGGAGGGAAAGGCTTGGAGCCTGCTCCAGAGCGGGAACCACATTGTGCCCTCACATCCTCCAGAAGCCAGGCTGGGAGTTGGGCTGTGTTGCCACCTGCCAGCGATCCGTACTGTTTCACCTGAAGACGCACAGTCAGCCAAGCCACCTCCTGGTTGACCTCACCTACTGCTGGACCCACATCTCAACCCCTGCCGCAGAAGGCTGCTGCTCACAGAACTGCTGCTGGGGCAGTCCACAGCTGTGCAATCTCATGTAATGTCACAAGAAGTATCAAAAGCAGGGTAACATGACACCTCCAAAGAAAGAATAACTAGCAGCTGATTTCAAAGGATTTTGATGAAAGGTGCCTTACAAAGAATTTAAGACGAGATTATTTGGGAATAAGGAAATTCAACAGAATACAGACAAGTCAGTGGACTTAGAATGCATTGATTATTATCTGAATGAGTAATTCAGTGGAGATAGAAAGCTTGCAAAAGAGATGGAAGTGAAAAACTTAGTAAGTCCAAAAAATTCTGAATTTAGTGAGTTTGAAAAATGGATTTTTGAAATACACACGTCAGGCTGGGTGGACGCTCGGTGGTGCATGTGCCTAGCATGCATATCCCTAGCTCTGAGGGGAAAAAGGACAAAAAGTAAATACTGACAGTCTTTGAGACCTTTGGGCCACCATTAAATGAACAGATGTTTGCATTTTGCAGGAGAAAATGTGAAAAGCCCAGAAACACCTAGAAATGAATTTAAGAAAGGAACTGAAAGCTCTACAATGAAAATTAGAAAATACTGATGAAAGAGATTGAAGAAAATGAAGAGTGTAGTGGTGCATATCTATAATCCCAGCTAAGTAGGAGGATTATGATCTGAGGCTAGTCCCAGTCCAAAAAGAAAATGAGACCCTTCCTGAAAAATATGAAGAATTAACAGGGAAATGCAAATCAAGACTACGGAGGAAAATAGTCCCACCCCAGTAGAACAGCTTTTTTTTTTTTTTTTTAATAATAATAAAAATGCTGGGCAAGATGGAGAAGAAAAGGACTATTTTGTTCTATTGGTGTGGGTGGAAATTAGTGCAGCCATTATAGAGAATAGTACAGAGGTTCCTCAAGAACCTGAAAACTGATCTGCCATGTGATCCAGCTGTCCTGCCTCTGGAGATGTATCCAGAGGAGTGAAATCAGTATACCAGAGATGTGTGCACTCCACGTTTACTGCAGCTCTGTTCACAGTGGCTAAGATATGGAGTCAACATAGGAGCCTATAAACAGCTGATTCAAGCCAGGCATGCAGTACAGGTCACTTGATAGGCTGAGGCAAGAGGATCGTGAGCTCAAGTCCACTGTAGGGTACAGAGTGAGACCCCATCTCAATAAAACCACCCAGACAAAAATGAATGGATAAAGAAAATGAGGCATAAATACGCTGGTGAGCTACTCAGCCATAAAGATGATGAAATCCCGTAATTTGCAGCAAAGTGAGGAGAACATAGTGTTAAGTGAAATAAGCCATACGGTCAAAACCAAAAACTTTATGCTCTGTCATATATGGAAGCTAAGAAATGACCTGAAAGTAGAATGGTGATTACCAGCAGCTGGAAAGAAGGAAGAATGTACAGGGAGGTTGGGTAACAAGTACTAACAACAGATGCGGAAATACTGTTTTGGTGTTCTGCAGCCCAAAGTCATGGCCACTCCTTGATAGCATATTGTGTGTTAGGAGGATCTGGGAGAGGAGCCTGAAGACTCCGACAGGAGAGGGAATGCTGGTTGCCCTGAGCTGATCGCTGCAGTGTTGTGTGCGTATGTGGAAATGTCACACCAAACCCCATTAATAGGTATAATTAATGTATGCTGATTTTTTTTAATTAAAAAAGTTTTCATTAACTACACACACTATTTGTGCTGGCATGTCAGCAGTGTGGCAGAACAGGCAGTGTCTACTGTGCCAGCATCCTGGTGCACCCAGTAAAGAATGTGGAGGCAATGGGGAGAGGATCTGAGAAGCATCCATATCCGGTGAGCAGCAGAGGCCGAGGGTATCTGACGCAGACACTCCCTACCCGACGCCTTGCACTACACCATTGACTTGGGGCAGAAGCGGTAACACTTGGTTTTCCCTGTGGAGAAGAGGGGCTGATGTCTCTAACAGCATTCTGACCCTAAAAGTGCCTGTGGCTTGAATTAATTCACACCTGCATGACCAGTGGGGATTAGTCTTTCTGGACTACAGGAGGAAAAAAATAAGGTAGTGTGTATTGATTTGATACCCAGAACCTGCCTGCACACACACACAAAGCCACAGGGATTTAGTACAGGAGTATGCACACTTCAGGGGGCTTCCTTTATCTAGTAGTGCAGAGAATGGGATTTAACAAAAAGCTATGATCAAGAGGTGTGGTTCAAGTGGTAGAGCACTGGGCTAGAGTGAGGCCTTAAGTTCAAGCCCCAGTACCAACCACAAAAAAACCCTCCATGTTCCCCCTAAAGGAATTTACGTACATACACACAGTGGCTAACTAGCAGCCTGTATCCCAACTGACTTGCATCTAGGAGTTAAGGAATCAGGAGACATTTGCACTCAAACTGAGGGCCCCACCTTGTGCGACTGACATTCACTTGGGGAACTGCATCTTGAAGCTTGTGGCTCTAGCAGCAGAGGAAACAGTCTCTAGTGTGTGGAGGAAGTGGCATATTTAAATGGGTGCAGACACCTCCAGAGACCTCATCTGCGCAGCCATGCCAAGAAGGAGCTTTACGCATGTAACTCCATGTGAGGCTTAGGCAAACACATCAAGAGCTCTGGTATTTAAGATGACCTCCTGAAGCACTCCATGCTAAACATACTTTCCCAGGAAGCCCCCTTAAACACAGAAAAAGCACATCCAGGACTAAAACCCCTTGTGGAGGTACAAAAGAATGGCAGGTTCTCAGCTTTCATTTTGTTTCTCCAAAGGGCATATAGCACAAGCCAGTGTCACCCAGTGGCAACCTGATGACCTGGTTTCTAGTGAATCTGCATTGAGGAAGTACCAGGGCAGACAACCTGCAGTTTGTCAGTCAGAGCCAGAGCTCACCTAGAGATAAACATTGGCCTACACGTTATCCCTGAAGAGTTTGTCCATGCACCCACCTAAGGGACCACATCCACAATAGCCCAGCTCTGGTAGTTGAGGGAGTTTGGCAAGTCTGAATGGCTTAACACTGCAGAAAATAGGTATCATAAGGGCCCACTTTCAGCAGCTGTCTCCAGGATCAGAAGATGCAGCCTGAACATGAATATCGGTGTTGGCCAAAGGTCTCTCCCTGGCTTGTTGCAAAAAAGTGAAACAAATGCTACACTCAGCCTTTCCGTGAAATAGAATCAGGGCACATGGTCAAGCTCTCTAGCTACATCTAAAAAAGCGGGCTCCTGTCATACTGGTCTTCCTTAATCCTGCGGGCCACAAAAATATTTAAAAAAAAAAACAACCAGGTGCCAGTGGCTCACACCTGTAATCCTGGGTACTCAGGCAGCAGAGATCAGGAGGATCACAGTTCAAAGCCAGCCCTGGGCAAATAGTTCGAGAGACCCTATCTCAAAAAATCCTATCACAAAAAAGGGTGGAGTGGCTCAAGTGTAGGCCCTGAGTAGTTCAAAAACCCCAGTAATGCCAAAAAAAGGGATCAAAGTGGTGTGTGCTTGTAATTCTAGCACTTGGGAGATAATTGAGATTTCAAGGCCAACTACATTAAAGAAAAAAAATCTTGAAAGAAAAAACTGACAACCAATAATACTTTACACCTAGTAATCTTGTCAATCAAAACTAGGAGTCACCCTCCAGTCCATTTTGCTCTGCTTATCTCGGAGATGGGAGGGGTGGTTTTGAGAACTGTTAGCCTAGTAGTCTGGCCTCAAACTGTGATCCTGCCCATCTCAGCCTCCCAAATAGCTAGGATTACAGGCCTGAGCCACCAACATACAGCTGAATTCTATGAATTTTTTTTTTTGGTAGTACTGGAGTTTGAACTCAGGGCCTCATGCTTTAGGCAAGCACTCTACCACTTAACCACCCCTTTTTCATGCTGAGTATTTTCGAGATAGAGTCTCTTGAACTATTTGCTTGGGCTGGCTTTGAACTGTGATCCTCCTGATCTCTGCCTCCTGAGTAGCTATGAACCTTTGAAGAATTAATGCCAAGAAAACTACAGGCAATATCCTTGATGAACATAGGTTAGAAATTCCTCAACAAAATGCTACCAAGCCTGGGCTGGGGGCATGGCTCAAGTAGTAAAGCACCAGCCTAGCAAGCGTGAGGTTATGAGATCAAATCCCAGTGCCACAAAAAAAAAA